TCATCGCATATTGAAGAAAAAAATTTCTCTTGACCTTGTCATAAACTGGTTCACCCTTGAATCGGTTTCATTTTCATCTAAACCAGTCCGGTTTGACAATGTATTGAGCAGTTCAACCAATTTTTGACCAGTTCACTTGCTAAATGTACCAATTATAGCAACTGAACTGGATCACAATCCAGTTTGCCAGTATTCCCATTTTAATAACTATGTGTACAAGGATTATCTTGCTGCTCGTTCCTGTCTTTAGGATGCTTATGTACTGAACTCGTGACCACTAAACGATGAAGCCATGAGTTCTCGTTAATAGAGTTTCGAGTAAATAAAAGAGAGAAACTCCCCCTCCCTACACAAATAGAGAGACTATGGTCTATTGTTTTGAGTTTCATGAGGATCTCTCTCAGTGTCAATATACATGATGGAGATCACAAATTTCAAAGAGCGCTCGATTACGTCTGTAGAATGTCTTTTGCTGTGATTCCTCTCAATCTGAGTTCTCCATCTATGGCAACCCTCTATCATAAAACGTGATTTGCTGATGACGACTTTAGCGTTTCTGAAGAACATTTTCTTCCCTTTAAACTAAAGATTACTTGCAGAAGGATTTCCATTTTGAAAGGTGTTAATAATCAAATTTACCCACCAACGATGACTAGACCAACTCGATATGCACCATGGAAAGACAAATTGGAAAGTATTACTAATTCATTTAAGCTTAAATGTGTTATTTATAATGGAAAAATGTACTATCTACAGCAAGAAAAATGAGAAATTCAAATCTAGATGTTATATGCAAAATAATGGTACTATCTAATGGCGCTCTGTGAAATTGGGAGGATCAATTCCCATTGCCTTGTAATAAGATTTTTCTGCATCAGCCATCCTAGTCTGGAACATTTTCCACTCTCGTCTACACCTCGCGCGCACCTGGAACCAACGAAAAAAAACTCTAGTTACAGCTCTAGAGAGAATAAAGAGGATTTAACTATTTTAGAGTCGAGTCCTTGGTTTAGCAAATGGTATATACAACGTATGTTGAAACTACGTACCCCTTGCCATGGAGCCTTGCCATTCTCTACTTGCCCCTATAAAAATGTTGAAGGGAGATGATGATTATTTCGTGAGGCCTAAAATGCATACATAACAACAATAACAAGAAAGTTGTGTTTTTCACAAATTTGGAGTCGGGTACGTGAATAGTTTTTTGTCACTCCGTCAGGTTCAGCATGTCAAAAAATGCTTATAACGTTATAAATTGCAATGTGGCAAGTGTTGCCAATGTCGTGTTTTACCTGATTCCCAAGTGAAGGAACACTTTGATGAACAATCCATTGGGCATCTACAACTCCAATTTTCTCATGAGCAGGCTACAACAGAGACACAGCCACATAGTTATCAGTAGAAATTGCAGCACAGACGTACTAAAACTTATTTATATATTCCAGAGTTGCAAAGTGGATTTTGAAGGGGACAGGCATGACTAACCTCGACACATTTTTGGAGGGCAAAGTCAAGACCCCAACCGTGGACCAAGTCATTCTACAATTACCCGATCAAGACAGTTAAATCACAAATTCAAGGACTTTCAAGATCCAAGAGTGAATACGAGGAAATCACAGTTAACCTGTATCATATGCCATACACAACGCCATGCCTCCCGAGAAAAGACAGGAGCCATGATTTCTACGAATCTGTGTTAGTTGATGACAGAAAATGAAAAAAAAATAATAATAATGTCCAAGAATTACACAGATGCAATGAGAACAAAGAGAAAGTCGGACAGTCGTTCAGTAAAAAGAAGAAAAAACAGAGAACAGTTCATACGCAGCACAGGGAGGCAAACGTGGATCAGAGCACCAGCCTGGTTTCTCCTCTGTTTGCCTATATTCAGAAGCAAGAATAAGAAGACATTGCACCAAAAAAGGGAAAAAAAAAAAAGAAAAAGAAAAAGGAAAAAGAAGGGAAAGAAATGGTTTCACCCAAAATAAGCATAAATAGTATGAAATTTTAGTTGTTTCTTGTTTTGTTTTATAATTCTTACTTGTGAACTTCATGATCACCTCTTCTCTTTGTCATCTGCCAAGTCAACCCTCGATTGGGTTCCAAACCAGGCTGTGAAATTTCTAATCCATGTTTTTTCACAAGTTTGATAAATCTGGAATTTGCAAAGGCAAAAGAAAGACGCACAACACAGATTAGTTGACAAAGATTTCCGTCAAAAAGGAAACTGGTTGATTAGATACTTACTCTTCGGCAACAAAATGCTCAACTCCAAGGTCTTCATCCCAAATAAATATGAAGTCATATGGTGCAACAATGTCAGGATGCAGAAACCTTTTAGCAAACCACCTTTTAAAAAATTTGAAAATTCAAATGGAAGAATTGATTATAGGGTACTCAAAATCATCAAAATAAGCATGAATTTTAGTGAACAGTTCCTTACCATTTTGACTGTTTTTTTGCACTCACATGAATAGCCCGCTTCAACCACTCAAACTCATCCCATTTGGATGCTCGACCATCATAATGAAACAAAACGATGGTAAAGTTCTCTGAAAACTGTAGAAAGAACATGTTTTGAGAAACAGACTGGGGGTTGGATGGGTGTACAGGAATGCTTGCTGACCTTTTTTACTGCTGCATCTATGTTGTTCCTTTGATCATAACCAACGGTAAAGGTCACCAGATATTTTGGTTTGCTGGTCAAATCCTGAATAATGTCAATGATCAGACAACAAAATTTAAAGAAAAGATAACAATAGTACTTATTTCACAACTAAGGAAACCAGAAACTAGTTTTACATTTGCATAAGGGATTTGCACATTCTGAATCCATGTCAAGTTCTATCCATTCTTGCTAAAGCTATTTCCTTGTTTAACTCAAAAAATCCACTTCGCTCAATCTTAACAATTTGTTTGTTACAAAACCAAGCGTATTTTGCATCCAAAAGTGTAGATAATTTTACAGTTCAATAAAAAAATCAAGTATTTTGCATATGAAACTATGATTTGAACAGAATGCTTACCTCACTAGGTTTACCCCACAATCTGCGGAGATAAAAGTCTGATTCAGACGCAACAATGCCTGGAGGTAATCTCTCTGCACCTTTAGGATTTGATGGGATCCAAATCTAAATCAGAATAATTAGAAAAGAAGGTATAAAAACTATTAATAGACAAATTCACATAGGCTTACTATCCGAAAGATATTAGGATTCCAAATTTTATCATCTATACATAGTTAACAAACGATTACAGATGCATATACCTAAAGAAAGAGAGAAATAATGTGTATAGTCCCAACTAACGTAACATCATATATTTTGACTAAAAATTTAAGATGTGTTTCTCTGCATGAACTTCATGTTTTTGCCAAAGTAAAAGACCATAATTAGAGAATCTGTTCTGTAGCAGAAGCGTACAGAAATTATTCTATGTAAAATAATGTTCAAACATCTCGACTTTCTAATAACGCCTAATTAACAAGGAAAAGTAACCTTTGATGAATCAGTCATAATTTGATTTTCAGTTGAGTTGCTTGTATTATTCTTGAAAGAGGAAATAGCATCTATACTTTGGGTTGAGCCACCTGTACTTTTGTTCCCAACGATCGAAAAATCATGAGTAAGAGCCGATTTGATATTTAGCTGCAAAATTGGAAAGTGAGTACGATCATAACAAAGACTAGAAATCAGCATCCGCGAATAAATATTGAAATTTAACCATATCTTCATTAAAGGAAGAACTGGAATTGACTTTCCTATAAAGAAGCCAAAGATGATGCCGACAAGAACAGTAATAATAACCCTCATGGTTTCATTTGGATTATTAACCATTGCACTGCAAATATGGACGTCAAAAGTCATACAAACTGTTGTCACGTACGGTATAATGGTTTAAGAGTGGTCTAACTACACGAGAAACAAAACTTACAAACCTGCGTCCTAAAATTCCGTTTCTATGTACAGTTTCTGGCTCCATATTTTGAACACACATGGCCCTAACAGCTGCTATGGAGTATCTAGTTAAGTTTCAAGTAGCCACTCTGCATTAAAAAGTAGGGACGTTTCTAACATGAAAGAACGATTTAGAAGTAATTTATCCATCAGAAAAAAACAAATAATGCTCGAAAACCCCGCAACACAGAGAAGTTGTAGAAAATAGAGAAAGCAAGAGTTACTTAACACTAAATTATTAGCTATTATACAAGGAAAGTGTGTCAACGAGCCCCAGTTCTCTTTCTTTCAAGTATTCAGCTCAACACCTTGAAAATCTTCTGTGAGACTCCATTACACCACCGGAATAAAATCACAAACTCAATAAAAGAAGGAAATCCGGATAAAGCTTCTGACACATGGACTAGACTAAACAAAACTGCCTGAATTGATTCTCATTAAAAGCCCGGGTAAAATATCAAACCTTCGAAGCTCGCATTCTTCCCACAATCAATTTAACTATAACACCAGAATAAAACCACAAACTTAACATCCTGAAAACAGTCAAATCTAGCTAAAACTTTCCCACATAAATTAAACTGCCACAGTGGATTCTCTTACTGAAAACGCGAGTAAACATCCAAACTTCAATCCTCAAAATTGATCAATCACTACAAAGCACAGTAATACACATGCGCATCCTTCTCACAATCAATTCCACGAGCTACTGCAGCAGTTCACTACCATGAACTGATCACAAATTTAAGTAAAACCCACTTCAGTTTAAGCAACCATTCATTCTTTCTTCCACCCAAAATCCCTTTTTCAATCTGGATACATATAGAGTAGGCATAAAAAATAATTTCAGGCATTTCAAGTCACATACAATCAGAACTCTTGGTTTACTTAATTTACAAGACTTAACAAAATTCCGCTAACTTCAATTTATTAAATTGGTTCAGAAATTTAAATTAAGAAAAAAAAAAAAAAAACAACAACAGCAGGTGTTTGATTAATTTATTACATGTTGGCTCATTTTTCATCATAATATTTAAAACTAAACACTTGACATGCATAAACACGTATGCATACTTAGTGTGCTTGAGAGCATACCTGGATTGAAAATGAAAAAACCCAGAAAAATTCTAGGCAAGTTAAATCGTAAATCGCCTAGAATTACGAGAGCAAAAAACGATTTTCTCGGTGAATTTTTACTGAGGAAATAAACGTTTGTTGAACTGCTTTAACCCTTCAATTAATGCGTTAATTCTCTACAAGTATGATGATAATTGTGAAGGAAGATTTAAAAGTGGAGCACTACAAGAAATTCCCAGTGAATAAAAGTCATGAAGTTGGAGCAAAAAGATGGTGTCTTTTGAGCAAAAAAGTGAGCTAAAAAAGTAACAGAGGAATCAGATTACATTTGATTTTATACTTCCCCTTTCTTGTCAAACTATTTCAATGAATTTTAAAATATTCTAAACTCTAATGAATTTTGTTCATTTTAATAGATTTTCACAAATTTTACAAGTTTTTTTTTAATATTATTTAATATATATAAAAATTTGATCTTGTGAGTATCAATGCTTATACTAAACATAAGATGACATGGCACACTATAATAGGTCCAGATTAATGAAAATTAAAAATTAGATTTTAATTTAAGTTAAAATTAACAATTAATTTAAACTATATATTTCATGATATCCACAACTTTTCAACTGTATATTTTATCAATTTTTTTTAAAAAATTACTAAAATTTTAATTTTAATCGATACGAATTAAGTGGTGTAATCATTTCTGTAACCAACTATTAATTACCGAAGGATTAAAGTAGGAATTAATTGTGAATTCAAATACAGAGAGTGATCTTTTATGAAGGTTAAAAAAAAGGTTTATGTTTATGTGTCGGGTGTTTATTGGGGCCCAGTTACATATTGGGTTTTACTACGTGGAGGTCATTTATTTGTTAGCCATTGTTCATACTTCAATTGTAATATAACATGCTTTGTACAAATTAAAATTAAAATTTTAATTTTAGACAAAATTAACAACTAAAGGTTGAACCCCGCCCTGTCCCTAACGTATTGTGGAAGGGGTAAATCGGGGGATGTATCTCAATAGATCAGGGTACAAAAATTGACATACTGGAAAGACAAAATCAACAACTAAATTTAGAGTATGTTTGATGCACATTAAAATGGAAAGAATGGATTTTTTTGTAATGTGATGGTGAATATGTGGTTAAAAAAAGAAGGAAAAATTATTGATTTGATGGAAAATATTATTTTATTGAAAAATGTGTGGTTGAAAATGAGAATTGATTTACTGTAGAAAATGAGAATCCCTACCAAACAGGCCCTAAAACTAATTCAAATAATTACAATATTGTTTAATGT